AAATAGCTTGTTTTGAGATAACTTAGAAGACTTTGATTCCTGCTTCCAAGTACCCCCTCTTTTCTACCTGTGCAAATGCTCTCCATTGTTTGAGGTCTCCTCAAGACTCACATCTACCCTCCAACTGAGGAAACTGAGGGGATTAAGACAGCAAGTGGTTAATTAATTGTAGGAATTGAGTGAACCACTGACTCCATCTTGTGACTCAATTCTGTAGCTAGCTCAGTATGCTGTCTATTCAAATATGGGTCTAGTCCAACTTCTTTCTTGTGAGAAAATTTTATTCAGTTCCAGGAACTGGGAGAAAACCTTATTGCATTATTTGAACCTAGCCTTGCATGGCTGGCAAGCTGGACCACACTGCCTGATGCTTAGAGACCCTTAACCAAACACCTAGGTTATGCTGACCAGAAACCCAGTCAGATCCAAAGACTGCTACAAGGAGTTTTCTCTCAATTTTAAATCCTAAGCAACCCATACGTCTTCTCTGAAAAGTGGCCCCATATTGATCAATCAGTAATTGTTTCCATTGGTTGTTTACGGATACTTAGGGCAAGTGGGACACCTCTTTTTCTGAATTCAGGAAATTTGTACCTATTCACTCTCCCCCTTCCTACTTGGAAAGTCCTTCATCTTTCATCCAATTAGAAATCAGATTAACTGATATTGTATTGTTTCCTCTTAATTAACTGGTCTTTTTTGACTAAAAGTTTGTAATGTATAAGAGTCTGTCTTCCTCTGTAGTGGGGTCCACCCCTATGCTGAGGAGATCTGGTCCTGGTTTGTTGGGCAATTGCCATACATTGCTGAATAAATAGATAGGCTCAGATCAAACCTTTGTTTCCTCAGTCATGTATTCCTCTTTCACATTCCACACAATGTTTCCTGGCAATCTTAGTGCTCAGTGACCACGTTAGCCTGAAGTACTAATTATTGCCCTATCATCTGCTTTCCTTTATTATTTTCTTAGGAATGTATCCTGCCTCCCCAACTAGCAGATGATCTCCCGAGTCTCTCTGAATCCTACACACCCGTTGGATGCCTGACAGATACATTCTCTACTTTAGTACAAATTACCTGATATTAGGAGTGAGACAACTGGCTGGGAGGCTATAATTAAGGGGCCTCTCATGGAGCCAGGGAGGAAGGATTAGCCTGAATAGGGCAGAGGCTCTCAGGAATCAAGTTTCTTTATGGGCTCCACCCAAAGCAAAGCTCTGCTTCACACCCCACCCCTTCCTGAGGAATACCTGTCCTTCATTATCCACCTCTGAGGTATCCATCTGCCGAATGTATGCCAGTCAACAAGCATTTATTAAATGCTCACCACATATCAGACACTGTGCTAAAGTCTGGGAATACCAAGAAAGGCAAAAACATGGCGCCTGCCTTTAAGGGGCTAATGTTATATGTTAATGTTATAATATTATGTATATAATGTTAATGTATAACAGGGCAGAAAACATTTAAATGACTAGGTACATACAAGACATATACAGTGTAAATGGAAGGAAATTTCTGAAGGAAGGGACTGGGAGTGGGTAGGAAGGGGAGAAGACCTCCAGCAGAAGATGGGATTTAAGCAGTGTCTCGAAGGACGTCAGAAGACAAAGGTGAGGAAGAAGGCATCCCAGGCATTAGGGTCAGCCAGAGAGAGTCAGGAGATGTAGTGTGGTCAGGAAGGAACAGCAAGGAGGCCAGAGTAAATGGGTCATAGGACATGGCAGGGAAGAAAGGAAAGGAGCCAGGTGATGAAAGGCTTTAAATGATGAAGACAGGATTTTATATTTGATCCTGGAGGCAATAGGGAACCACTGGAGCTTATTGAGTAGTAGGGTAACATGGTCAGGCCTGTACTTTTAGGAGGATCACTTTGGCAGCTGAGTAGAGGGTGGATAGGAGCAGGGGAAGACTTAAGGCAGGGAGACCAACTAGAAGGCTATTGCAAGAAATGTGTGGGTGTTGGGTTGAGGAAGAAAACAAAAGTGGAGAAAATGGGGGCCCTAATGATTTCTTATAAGGCTCAGTTTCCTCATATGTAGATAGGAGTGGGGAGGTAGACTTGAATGACTAAGGTTACTTCCAGTTCTAAGATCATATACATTTATGTTCAGGATTATCACATAGTAAACAAGCATTTAAGTGCCTAATATGTGCCAGACCCACCCCCTCAAACAAAAAGTAAAAAAAAAAAACCCAGTCTGCTCTCAATCTAGGAAGACAACATGTAATCAACCATGCAGAGGGTAACTTGGAAATAGTCAACAGAGAGAAGCCACTAGAATTCAGGGGGATTGGGGAAAGCGTCCCATAGGAGGAGGGATGTTTGCTAAGCCTTAAAAGAATCCAGACAAGGCAGGAGGCAGAGATGGGGAGGGAGAACATTCCAGCCAAGAGAAGTAGCCAATGAAGCTGAGGTCTGGGGTCAGGAGATGGAATATTGCTTTGGAGGAACAGAAAGTGGGCCAGCATCACTGGATCACAAAGTACATGGGAGTAAGGTCTAAGAAGACTGGAAAGGTAGGAAAGGGAAAGCCATGCAGAGAATTTTATATTTGATCCGGGAGGTGATAGGGAACACCTGGAGTTTATTGAGTGAGGGGCTATTCCCTGCCCATCTCAGGACTCTTGTTCTAGAGCCCTCCAAGGTTTTATTTTTTTTCTTTTTTTTTTTTCCCCTTGGCAATTGGGGTTAAGTGACTTGCCCAGGGTCACACAACTAGTGTCAAGCGTTTGGTCTGAGGCCGGATTTGAACTCAGGTCCTCTTGACTTGAGGGCCAGTGCTCTATCCACTATGCCACCTAGCTGTCCCAAAGATTCTAGTGTATTATCATTGCAAATGCTATTTGCATTTAGTTTTGGACAGATTTTGTTTTGTTTTGTTTTTTCAGGGTTAAGTCACTTGCCCAGGGTCACACAGCTAGTGTCAAGTGTCTGAGGCCAGATTTGAACTCAGATCCTCCTGACTCCAAGACCAGAGCTCTATTCACTGTGCCCCACTCTAGGGTTTCTGAATGACTTCTAGATCAAAAGATCATAGACCTAGATCCAAAAAGGACTTCAGAGACCACTTAATCCAAACCCATCATCATACCAAGGAGGAAACAGAAACTCCAAACAAGGAAAGTGACTAGCCTAAGGTCACATAAGGTAGAAAGCCATCAGAGATAGGACATGGGTGTAGGTCCTCTAAGTCCAGTGCTAAGAGCTCTTCCTACTATACCACAAAGACCTCTCTTCCTCTTTTGTCCTAAAGAAGGACAAACAACAATGCTGTTTGTTCAGTTATTGGCACTAAACTCCAAATTATTTGTGCTTCTCAAAATTATTCTCTGATCTTTATTGCTTTAATGTTTCTCACTTAAATTGTAAATTGCTTCTGATCTTTGTAAATGGATATGTATTCATATGAGGTTTTAGGACATGAAGAAAAGGGGTGGGGATATAGAGAGATATGGGTGACAGAATGCATCTCTGTAGTGTGGGATGACGAGGGGATGAGAGGAAGCTCTTGGTGGATGGCCTTGAAGAAGATATCTAAGTAATCTATAATGATCATTTGGGCACTAAGAAGTATGAGAAAGAAAGCAATGGTTGCAAGGCCAGGTGGAGGAGGAGATAGTGGAAGACCTCTGACTGATACGAGAAGGGAAGAAGAGGGAGCTCTCTTTTAATGACCTCAATTTTTTTTCCAGTGAAATAGGAGGCAAAGTCTTCAGCTGAGAGGATAAGGGAGGGGGGACATGGGAGGTTTGAAGAAGGGCGAAAAATTCAAAAAACCACTGAGGTGAGCAGGGTAATCTCTATGTCTCCTCTCTTCTGGGCATCTATTTCCACTGTTCTCTGGTGTTTCATTTCTACTTTGATAGTATCTCTTAGAGTGACACTCCCTTCTCCCGAAACTGCCACCATCCTGGTAAAAGCCTTTATCACCTCAACCCTGGATTCCTGTAATAGCCTCCTGCTTGAGCTCCCTGCCTCTGCTCTCTCCCCACTGCACAGTATATCTGCCACTCTGCTGTTAAATCTTCCATAGAAAGCACAGATCTGCTCATTTCATTCCCCATTCAGTAAACTCCATGGCTCCCTATTATTATAGGATCAACTGTAAAATTCCACATTTGGCTTTCAAAGCCCTTCATAGCCTGGCCCTTTTTTACCTTTCCAGCCTTCTTACACCTTTCTCCCCTCCATGTACTCTTGTGATCCAGTGACATGAGCCTCTTATTTGTTCCTTGACTGACCCTAGCTGTCCTTACCCAACCCTACCGTGCCCGGACTGCTTTCCCTCTTCATTGGTGCTTCCTAGCTGCCCTAGCTAAGACTCAGCCAAAAGCCCACTTTCTTTGAGAAGCCTTTCCCAGTCCTCAATTTTTAGCTCCTTCCCTCTGAGATTACCCCAATCTATTTTACATTTGTCTTGTGTGGGCATAGTTGTTTGCATGTTGTCTCCCAAATTAAACTGTGAGCTCTTTGAAGAAAAGAAGTACTGTTTGCCATTTTTTGTATGCTCAGCATTTAGCACAGTGCCTGGCAAATAGCAGGTGCCTAATAAATGCTAACTGACTGACTACCATCAGCCAGTTTTCAAATGCATTGTGACATCTTCCTTAACAGGCAGGGGTAGGGCGTCTACTAGCTCTTTGTCAGTTTACTGGCACAAGCGTCATCCTCAGTTCTTTGGTGAAGCAGACCCCACCATCCACACCAAGGCATTTTAAAATCTGCTTTACACACACACACACACACACACACACACACACACACACACACACACGCACTCTCCTCTCTCTCTCTCTCTTCCTCCGATGTTATTCCACGAAAATTACAGGAACAGCTAGAAAGAAGCATACCAAAAGGGTTACTGACCTTTGTACTCCCTACCCCCCCTCAACAAAATTTTGCTTTTCTACACCAGAAAACATTATTCACCAATAAGGCATTAACTTTATAAATTGTTACCTGGTAAGGAGGAAAAAAAACAAAAACAAAAACAAGCTGATTTTTACATTTTAAACTTTATTCAATTCTGTACTTAGCAATTTCTAAGTATTATACATAAGAGACTGCTTTAGACACTTTTGTAGAAAACGGAGGTTTTTTGGTTTAAAAAAAAAGAAAAGAAAAAAGAAACCAACACATACAAACCCAATTGTCAGTAAGAAGCTAAAATCCTCACCCAAGTGGAGGCCAATACAAACTTCAAAATGGTGGTACATTTAGCATACAAATTATTCCTCAAACTCTAATCTAGCAAACATGTCCACATTATTTGACTACAGCTAAGTAAAAACATTCCAAAAACTACATTTAAAAAAAAGTCTCTGTTTCAGGAAAGTAAAAACATTTTAAAAATATTTCTTGTAAAACTTATCACCAAAGTTTAAAAATTGCAAAAACTTTTTGCAGCCATTTTTGTAAATAAAGTTAAATTTCAATCTTTGTTGAAGAAAAAAAAAGCATCCTCTTAAATTTCTTATAAATATCCTCTAAAGACATATATTATAAATCTGCCACAAGCTTCACCTGAAAGATCTTCCAAGGTTCCTTCTCCAGAAAGGATCACCTTATTGATTTACTTTCATTAAACCTTGCTCATATAAATAAGATCCAACTTCCCACTTTGTTTCTTCCATTAAGTTATCAAAATGACTGATTTTTAAAAAAATTCTTAAAAGGGGGACTCTTTGGTTAAAAATAAAATGCTATTCCTCTCTTCCAAAACAACTGCCTCTATGGGTCTGATTAAATGCCTATTTGGTGAGGAGTTTGGGAGATCTGAAGGGAAAGACTTCAGACTGGACAATTAAATTTCCCATAGTTTATGTGAACAGCTCTCCTTGGGTCTCATGTCACAGAGAGCCCAGAGGAGATCCCAATTGCACCCAGAACATAGCACTAAGTTTAAAGCCACTGAGAGCTTAATGATTACATGACAATGGGGGAGAAAGCACACTCAAACAATGCTACAAGAAGGCCTACAAGCTAATGGTCAAACCTGGGTGTTGTCACTGGTCCTCCCGGACTAAGGTCCCACCACCCAGCATTCTTCTGGGCTTGATGTTACTGACACTGGCATCGCCTTCCTTTCACAAGAGAACATTCTTTCACTTAAAAAAAAGATGTGCATTCAAGTGTACATCAAAATGACAATATTTAGAGAGGAGGAAAGGGGGTGGGGGTGGGGGTGGGGATGAGGAGCCACAGCAGTTTAAATACAATCCCTGGGATTCCCTTTGCTAGGGCAACATGAAGCACCAGTGTAGTAAATGCGTGGGAGGAAAAAAAAATGTGAATATATACTGCCTTACGGTAAAGCATAGCCTTTGTTTGAGAGATTCTACCCCAATGTTCCGGACTGCTCACTGCGCAAATCCTGCTAAGGGACTAGGAAGAATAAAATATGGAAGCCACCCAGCCAGCAAACCTCCCATTCATAGGCACAGAAATTCTAACATCCTCAGAATCCCCCCTTATCCATATTTTATATGTGTATTATATATTTCATATCCTCTTCCCTAACCTCTCCAAGAAAGATGGCTCCAAATTTTTCTGCAAAGTAGTTCCCTCAAGCTCTTCCTACCAAAAAGAAGGAAACCAAAAAAAAAAAAAAAAAGGAAAAGTATTTCTGAAAACTGACACCAAGAACTTGTGTCAGGAAGTACTAGATGTGGCACAGATTAAGGATCTCTTGGGCAAGACCCCTTACTAGCTTATAATGGTAAATAGGTTGGCTTCTAGAAGGATGTATGGTCATCAGGTGTAGTATTCTCATATAATGCTATATACAATAATCCCCAGAGACCTCCATCTTAGTGTTTTCATCATTAACAAAAACAGGCAGAAAAGAATATAAGGGTTCATTCTTCCACTATGTCTAACATCACATGAATGAATGGTACAGAGAAAGTACGCAGGGCGTTTACAGCCTTCTCTAGCTTCTATGAGTGAGGGAGGGTGTCTTGTGGAGCAGACATCCAAGAGCCATTTCTTTAATTATTCACAAGAGGCTTCATCTTTTTGATAAAGGCCAGTGAGATGATCAAGTTAAAACCACTGAAAGTAGCCCAGGTAACTGAAGTTGGCACAGACTTTTTGTTCCAGTTTCTCTATCACCAGAATCACAACATCCGATAGCACAAAAAGACAGGTATGTATACATATTGACCCATCACCTGAGCACTGCTTATTACTATAATAAATAAGGCATATTTTTACAGATGTCCCCTAGACCACCAGTACTTTGGGCACATCAACCCCATTTTATATCACCAACACATACATTTAAAATTTTAAAAGGTGGGAAAATTAAACAATGGCCATAGCAGCAGTATGTGAATCTGCCCACTTGAGTACCTCAGGTTTTAAAAGACAATTATGTGCCACACAGCAAATCTTCAGATACACTCAAGAATATAATGGGACTGGTGGATAATGGAGTCTCCAAACTGAGGTCACGGTCACTTTGAAATGGTCCTTGGCCAAGGGTACCCTGAACTTTTGCCAGGGGATGCTCTAGGAGGCAAAAGGCCACTGCCTCGTGTCAGCAAGACTCAGTAATTCAAAGGTTTCGAGACACCTGTTGAATTTGGGTTATGTCTTAGTTTTACAGCAGAGGGCCTCTGCTGCCCAGGCCAGGGAAGAATGTGAGGACAAACTAAGGAATATTATACCCTCTCCTCAGAGAGGAAAACCACTACTACCACACCAACAGTGACAAAAACTTACTCATGTCTTCTCCAAAAAAGGTTCAAGTCTTTCCTCCTAATTTCTACTGAAGGCTGCTCCTAAGCCGTATCCAACCCAAGCTCCAATCTGAGGAGCTCCCTCACTCTCAGATAGTACTGTGCCTCTAAATGCAAATGATAACCATGATTATGCATACTTGGGAAAGCTTCAAAGCTGCGTGCAAGCAGAGGCTTCCAGAAGCAGCATATGTCTATTTACTTCAAGTCATGACACCAAATGGATCCATGAAGCACGGTGATCATTCAGTGTTAATCTTTTTTTCCTTTTTTCTCTGCTCCTGTGATACTTCCTAATTATAAAATTTGATGGAATCTACAAGCATATGAACAATATGTTATCATTTACAATCAGGGCGGATTCAAACAATTCTGTCTTCTAAGATTAAAAAAAAACTTTCCATGGTGACTGGTAATTGTTTCTTTCATGATTTCACAGGGGAAAAAACTCAATGTGACACCTAAAAACTGAATACTATGGCCAATATAAATACATGCATAATTGTGTTATCACATATATGTCATATGTGTTGCACATATATATACATACACACATATGTATACGTATGTGTGTGATACACATATAGTTCTAGAAGTATGAGTCCATTATCATAGACTGGCGAATGGGGTTAAGGGAGAGGAGGAAGAGGAGAATAATACGGATGGAGGAGATTGCCAAGAGAGAAGAAATGGAATGTATTTGCTCCCATTAGATTCATGATCTGGTTTCTAACTCTGGCCTGTGGCACGTTGTTGTAAAGCTACTTCAGTCTACTAGGTCTTTTACATGAAAAACTGTTCTCATCTGGAAGGTTGAGAGCATCATTAACAAATCTCTTGGTTTACAGAATGTCCTCCCAACCCACAGGAGAGGAAAGAGAGCTCTGAGGCTGAGCCCCCAACCTGTTCTGAACATCACTCTTCTCTTACTCCATACCCCCGCCCCCAACCCAGCTCTTATTCTAGGCCAAGAATGGCTTAGCAAACTCCAGAAATACCAAGTGTAGATTTCCCCCATCACATCTGCATCATGAAGCACCCAGGGTTACTGAGCAGATCATGTCTCTATATTTGGGCTGATTTTAATAAGAGTCTTCCTTGTACAATGGCCAGAAATCCAATTTCTCACAGGAAGTACTTTAAAGTACTGATCTGGTGAAAAACCTAAGGATGCTTTACGTAAACGGGACAAATACTATCCCTTCCCATAAAACACAGGCATCCCCTTCTCTTGAGTCTAAGGGGTCACATTCACAACAGACCTATTTGACTCTGGCCCCAAGGTTCTCTTGGGACAGGATATCCCAGAGAAATAACAAAGGTGCTAATAGTATAGGGAACATAACCAAAGCTAGAAAATCAAAGCCCTTTTACGCACAGAAACAACAAATTTGTCGGGGAGGACAAAGGAAAGAAGAGAGTCATATGCCCAGCAGGTTTCGGCCAAAAAAGCAATTTGGGGATCTAAGCCCTTTTAAGAATATTGTTATTAAAATTACTTACAATTAAAAACCCTATCTAAGCATCTATCCATAGTTTAGGTATGGAAAAAGACAACTTTGTAGTTATCTTGAAATCATGTATGCAACAATACAAGTAACTTGTAATTATTGCAATACCTTGATCAAGTAAAAACAATAAGGTGAGATCGTGCTGTCAATAAATTGTGCTTATTCACATTGTAACATTATAACAAACAAGTGACAGAGAAGGGGTTGGGGGGGCCCAACGAGATAGAGGACAGTACATGATACCTGTGATTTCCAGCATCACAAATTCAGAGAAAGACATTTAAGGCCCACAGGGAAACAAAATTTTAAAAAAAAATTTTTTTTAATTTAAAACAAAATCTCTGGGATTTGTTTAAAGGACTAAAATCACGAGATTTCAACTGCCTTAAAAGTAAGCACTCCCTCCTTAATCCCTAAATATTAGGAAGTTAGGAACAATGAAGAATATGGCCAGAACTCCATGCTTCATACTTCATCCCAGAAACAAAGGACACAAACCACCTTAGTGTTTCAAATGCAGAGTTGGTCAGCTCCAGAACTCCCCTTTCCAGATAAGGCCAAAGACTGACCTTCAGGCTGCTTGATATGTTTTTGTATATAGATTTCAGACTACAGAAACTTGTTCTTTCCTCTACAAAAATATGCTGAACCCTTGATTTCTAGTTGGGAAAAAAAATCTGCTGAAATAATAACAACTCCCAGATTTACCAGCCAGATTTCTAAAGAAAAAAACTGAAAACAAACGTTAAAAAAAAAAAACCAAACAACCCACTAACCCCTTTAGAATCCTGCTTTCTGAAAGCTGTATTAGAATTAGTTACCTGTGTATGTGTCAAGTGAGACCTAGACTATCAGCTTCATGAAGGCAGGGACCACGTCTTACTTATCTTTACAACAACCCCCACCCCAGCACCTAGTATAGCGCTCTGCACATTGTAGGCACTTGAAATATTTGTTGAATTTGAACTTAATGGCACCATCTTATTATAAAAGGTCATGAAAGTTGAAAGTATATGTATAATACGTATTACGTATGATCAGTGTGGACCCAAACAATTCTTTCTTGTTTAAAATAAAACTATGCTTTCCATAGTGAATGGTAGTTTCTTTCATCATTTCACAGGGGAAAAACTCAATATAACCCAAACATTCTTATCACATACTTGTTTTTTCTGACCCCTTTTGGGCCAGCCTGGTGCTGGCAACTTCACAGGTGATTTTTAGGACTGGTCCAACCATTACTCACATTAATCATTACTTAAAAAAAAAACACTAAAAAATACAGTCTTTTAGTCGGCAGACTGATCAAATTGAATGACAGTTTTGATAAAAGAAGGGCTCTCAGATGTCTCATACAGAAAATTCTCTGGTAGGGCAGCAGAGAGGAGCTATGAGGGTCCACAGATAGATCAGGACACACATCCAACATGATGCCATCTTGACCCAGAAGAAAGATGTGCTTCCGCTGAAGAATTTTTCAATGTGAGCACCTTCATAGCTGTTGGAAAGAAAGATAAACCGATTGAGCCTCCTTGAAAGCTAGTTCTTTTCCCCTTAACTCCCTTCCTTTTAAAAATCATGCTCCAAGCCATCTATGATCTCATTATTAAAATGGTTGCTTGGTATCCCAATACTTAGAATAATGACTGGGCACTTTGTAGGAGCATAATACATATTTGGTATTTGACTGAGAGATGTGGGCATACTTTCCAATAATGCTGCTCAAAGCCTATCTATGCCCACTCATCCTGATGAATCCTGATGCCTTCCTCTAAATCAACTCCACGGGGTCTAGCAACATGGTAAGGGCCTCCCTCTCATTCTCTTGACATTGTATGGATACCAACAGAGCCATATGGACCTGCTACCAGTTTATCCCTTGCTCTCAATTTGTGGCTGACTCATCTTTTAAAAAAAAAACTGGATCTGTAATTTCATTGCAGAGGAAAGACCTGGTGAGAAGGCAGATCAGCACCTTTTTAGCTGCTTGAGAAGCAGATAACTTGCTCGAGGTCAAACAGTCTTTATGTGTCAGAGATACAACCTGAATTTGGGTCTTTCACAGGCCATCTTTTTTTTTTTAAGTTCAATCAAGTATTTCTCTGGTGATACTCTTTACACTGGTTCTCCTATGTAAATTCCTCATTTATAATACCTTGTATCATAAAATCTGAATCCCAGGAACTTGGATACCTCCTACATTCACATGAAGGTGTTTTGGAGTCACTCTTGGGTTTTGTATTTTGAAGCTCCCTGTCACTTTAACGGCTCTTTATGATGGGATTCTATTTTTTTTGTTTGTTGATTCCTCCAGACTACTTTCTGACTGGATTTCACGCTCCTGGGCTCCAGGCACTTTTGGAGGGAAGGTCTGGACTAGTTTTGTTGCTGCTTTCTAGGGATACTGAGTGTTGTTTTATTCAAGGATCTCAGGAGCAGGTCAAGTTGGGTCCCTGGAAGCTTTCAGCACTTCCCAAACTGTCTGATCCAGGGCAATGTCATCTGATTGCTGCATCCCTGGTGGGAGCTCTATTTGACTGGGCATCCTCCCCTGGTCATAGCTATGAAGGTTCCACACTGGGCTGGAAGCTGGAACGGAGGCCACTCCATGGGTATGAGTTAACAGCTGCTGCTACCGTCTAAACTTGCTTCTATTTCAGAACCCAGTCTGCAACTGTTTGTCATCTCTGAACATAACATCCCTGGGCTCACGTCCTCAGTTGGCCCTGTATCTGTCACCAAGAACTGGGTAGTGAGACATAAAACTGCCAGTTGGCACCTGTTCAAGGTCACAGTCCTCTTAATTCCCTTTGCAATTTGTTCCTCCATAGCTCTCATTCTTTTTCCAATTGTTTCCTCTAGTGCTCATTTCATTTATAAAAACATGCTTAAACTCTTTTTTTTTTTAACTTTCCTTTCATCTCAACATTTTATCATCTAGGTCTAGGGCCTCTGGGTCTGGTGTAGAGACTCCTCCTATATTAGCATCCTCCCTTCAGCAAACTCTTGGCCAGGCCCTGAAGGTGTGAAGACCTCTCTGTATCCCCGTAACAACCTGGACTAGAAAAGAGACACACTGCAGCTTGTCCTTGGATTTCCTTATCAGGATTCAGTACCTTTTCTAGGTCTATGTGACTCACTGTGGCTTTCTCTTAGATTTCCTCTCTAGGTCTATCTGGAGAAGTTTTTGGAGGAGAGCTTGCTGGACTTCCTGAGATTCTACCAACCTGCCCTGCCTCTCCTCTCTCAAGCTTTCTTAAAAGTGTGGATAGTTTAGAAGCTGAGAGAAATGATTATTAATAACCAATGATTTGAGGAGATCCAGAGTTTCCCCCTTTTTTCTAAAGTCCTGATTTTTAAAAGTTCAGTCTCTTAAGACTTCGCTGATGATGACACTGCACCAACTTTCTTGTTCAGACTATACCCAGATGGAATAGATACTGTGTTCTGCTCAGGCTTGGGTAGCATTCTTTGAATAGACTGCCCAAAGGCTATGGGTGGTCTGGGTATAGAGACAGTCTCTTGGTCCAAAGGTCACATGATGTTACTCTCAGCCCCCTCATTGTAATATTCTCTCATTAACTGTTAACCAATCAGGGTTGATTCCCACCCTGAGGAACACCTACTCTTCGAAAGGTAAATAAACTGTAAACCTTCAGCCATGCTGTCTTTGTTCTAAGACAGATGGCCAAATGAACATCTTTTTATTAATAAACATGCCAAATATGAATGTATAAGTAGAGCCTATATCAGATTGTATGCTATTGTGGGGGGAGGGCAGTGGGAGGGGGAGAAAACTTAAAACTCAAAATCTTATGGAACTGAATGTTAAAAACTAAAAATAAATTATCAAGAAAAAAAGAGGAAAAACAAAAACAAAATTTAATGTGCTTGCCTTACTAATAAAATTATTAAATCACCCAGAAACTATGACTCTTGAACCTTTTAATCCCTAAAAAGCTATATTAATTTACTTATGCAATAAATGATTTACTAAGCACCTACTACATATATGCACTAAGGATACAAAGACACAGTACAGTGCGCTGTCCTCAAGAAGCTTATGTTCTACAGAGACTTTCAAGAAAACCCTTCCTTCCCTAAAATCTACCCCTAGTTATTAATTACTATGCAATATATTGTTATTAATTATCATTAATATTATTTATTATTACAGCATCATTAAAATTTGCGCCTGTGATCTCCCAACACCCACTTCCCCTAAGGAAAACAGACTACTCACTTGAACCAGTTGGTGACTGTCATCATCACATAAAGGGAGGCCAAGAAAAAGACAAAATGAAAGTAGGTATAGCTGTACACAGTGCCTTTCTTTTCATCGTAGATGACTTGCTGTCCTCCCCTCCGATCATCAGGCTCGTCAACATCTGTCGAAAATAAGAGGGAAGAAGTGAGGGGCTTTGGCTGCTTCGCAAGGCTGCTCCTGTTCCTCCACCTCCCTCTCCTCTTTTTTCCCCCCATCCCCTCATCTTGTCCAGATTCTAACTGTGTAAGAAATGCAGAAAGAAGCTCCCCGGGGCCCTCAGTGTATATTTCATCCTGGCCTCGAATGCCCTTACAAAAGGATGAATGTCTGGAAAAATAAATAGCTCCTCAGCATTTTCTGGCTGAAAGGAGATTTACTCAAGAGTCCTATTCATTTTGGCACAACTTCCAAAAGGCAAAATGACCCCAAACTTAGAAGAAAAATGCCCAGTGGGGACACTCCCCATAAGCACCTAGACCCTCCCCTTAGAGGATACAAGCTAAGGATCCACATTGTGATGATTATCACAGATCAATTTGGATTTTTAAAAAGCTAGTAATTAAATAATCACGAGTCATGACTGACATTTATACTGGGCTTGAGATTTAACAAAGCATTTTATATACATAGATAGATACAGATAGATATGTGTGGAGAGGAGGAGAGAGATGAAGTGGGGAATGGAAGGAGAAGAGAGAGGGGGGAGAATAAGAGAGAGAGAGAGAAAGAAAGGGAGGGAGAAAAGTGGGAGAGGGAAAGAGAGAATCTCTGCTGATCCTCCCAATAATCTATAAGGTGGGCAATCTAAGTATTATTATTTTCTTCATATTACAGATGGGGAAATTGGAGATTCAAAGATGAGAAGTGAGTTGCTTATGGTCACAGAGCTAGTAAATGATAGAAAAACTAGGACTTGTCCAATTCCAAAGGCCAAGGCCCTTCCTATTAAATTAGTGTACCTCTCAATAATAATGAACAACAAAAATAACAATAACAAAAATAATAACAATAGCAATAATGATGATAATATATAGCACTTACTGTGTGCCAGGCACTGTGCTAAGTACTTTATAATTATCTAATCTGATCATCACAACAATCCTGGGAGGTAGATGCTATTATAATTCCCATTTTACAGATGAGGAAACTGAAGCAGAGCTTATGTGACTTGCCCAGGGTTATATATCTACTAAGTGCCTGGGTCTGGATTTGAACTCAGATCTTCCAGTCTTCAGGCCTTGCCTAATGAGAGGTAGTATAATACAGTGAATAGAAAGCTGGCCTAAGACCCAAGAAATCACAAGTCTGGGTCTAGCCCTGGATCTACACTTGGCTTTGGGCAAGTCACTTAACCTCTCAGTGCCCCAGGGTGCTCTCCAACACTCTTAAGTTTCAGAGAAGGCACTGGCCTACACTGGTGGATGGAATTTCCTCATCTAAGAATTTTTATACCAGTGCAATCACAGATCTATCCTGCCTTTCCATTACATGCTGTTTGCAATTCCTCCTAATCCTAGAGGCTGTTGTCATGTAAACAAAAGCCCTGGCAAAGAATGAGAGAAATGAATACAATCACAACCACAACCCCACTCCCCCCAGGAAAAATTGTCTTTGTATGTAAATACGTGCATATATGTACGTATAAAGTGTCCCTTCTGCATACCAAGCCTTGTGAGTGAAACAGATTAGGATCAAAGTTAATTCCCCACATACCTTCTCCATCAGGAGCTAAGCAGAAACAGCATCGAGCTACCTATGAAACAAAAATGAGCAAATAGAAGGAAGAGCTGTCATAAAATCATCCTAGGATCATACTTAGATTTCAAGCTTGAACAGCAATAGCTAGCATTTATATAAAATGCTTTAAGATTTGCAAATTGCTATATATTTTAACTAATTTGATTCTCACAACAAACGACCCTATGAGGAAGGTACCATTATTATCCCCATTTTAGTTTAGTTTAGTTTTTGATGAGGCAACCAGGGTTAAGTGACTTGCCCAGGGTCACACAGCTAGGAAGTCTTATGTGTCTGAGGCCGATTTGAACTCAGGTCCTCCTGACTCTGGTGCTCTATTCTTTTGGGCCATCTAGCTGCCCCAATTATCCCTATTTTAAAGATGAAGACACAGAGGCCCAGAGAAGTTAACAGGATTTTAAGTCAGGGGCCACAAGGCTAGTAAAGTGTCTGATTCAGGTTTTTAAGCCAGGTCTTCCTAAGGACTCCAGGCCCAGCACTCTATCCATTGTGCCACCTAGAGGTCTCCTAATTCCAATCCATTTATTTTACAAGTGAGAAAATGAGGCCCCAGGATGTGATGTAATTTGATCTAGGCTATATAGGTAGTAAGTAACAGTGGGAATTAAAACTCAGGTCCCTTAGAGCACCAGCCAGCAGTCAGGAAGACATGAGTTCAAATCCACCCTCAGACACTTACTAGATGTGTGACCCTGGGCAAGTCATTTAACCTCAATTGCCTCCCCCCCGCCACCCACACACACAAAAAACTTCAGGTCCCTCTGCTTCTAAATTCAGTGTTTTTCCCAATATAATGCCACCTCCAAGATGCCTATGAATGATTCTGTGAGTCCCAGCAGTTCAATGAAAATTTTTTTCAATGAAAGATGCCCAGAAGGTACTAAGCTATATAGTCATCCTAACAGCTTTCAAGATGGATCCAGACAAGGCTATTATCTGAACCACAATGGCCCAGATTGTCATTGTGGACTAATGAATAAAGAATGTCAAACTAAAACACAGCAGTTGGGTTCATAGCTCCAGTCAGACAATAGCTAGCCACAGAAAATCCTTCCATTTTTTTCTGCCTTTTTCCCCTCATTAGTGAAATGGAGACCTCTCCTGAAGATTTCAGTTATCATCCCTAATGAAAACAAGACCCACTACCCCAACACAAAGTAACATTCATTTCTCTTAGAGGTCCAATGACGTCAGTGCATTGTAAATCCTATTCCTAATTATGACAGCAACAGACCACATTTATGAAGTCCATTAACTGTTTCCAAAGACACATCTCATCAGAGCCTCACTTGATTTTGTGAGGTTGATGCTTTTATTATCATCACTTTACAGATGAGGAAACTGATGTGCAGAGAGTATAAGTGTAAGTAAGCCATGAACATATAGCAAATAAGTAAGTATGTCTGAGGCAGGATTCAAACCTGCCTCGAGTCTCTTCCAGAGCTATAACAAAGACTATTATTGTCTCCAAAAACCCTGCATTCATAAAACAAGTGCTCCAGGGAAGAAAACTACAAACCATATATTCACTGGTTTGGAAAGAAGAAAATAATGGATTTATTCCCATGCTGAGTACAGAAAAAAATCCCCCTATGTTAAACCTATCAGGAGGTTGACTGTTGCTTTTTGTTTAAAACCCAAACACAATTGAGATACTGAAAATGTGACAGGATGGTGTCAGCATTCAATGTCACTTGCCACTCAATGGCAAGAAACAATCTGGGCTTCTGGGGGGAGGCTTCTCTTCTCCTAAAGGATGTGCCACAACCAATTCAAACTCTGCTGGGTCATCTCTGCTCTTCCGTGATAGAGAGATCCAATTAGATGCGCTGGCTGGGAGACAACCCCAACTGTCTCAGCTTAGGTGCAGGAAAGACCATCTGCAAAATGCCAGCTAGACAGAGACCATTTCTGGGTAGACAACAAAGCCTGACTATCCAGGGATAGTCACAGAGATAGAGCCGACGGCCAGATGTCAAAATGGGCCTTGTGCTTCTGACCTAGGGCCAGAGCCCAGGCCAGTCCCATTGTACGAAAAGTGTGCATTTTTACAGGTCTGGCAGCTGGGCTTTTCAGGAAATAGTGTATCATTCTTTCTTCCTTTCAGAATTCTTTCCAAATATGGCCTTGTGGTCCTAGCTCAAGTTTTTTGCAGGACTTGTTTCTGGATGGATTGGAAAATTATTTTTTGCATAGAAGAGGAAATGATGGACTTATACTCGCAAAACACCAGAGTTAGAAAGCCTAGGATCAGAGGGCTGCAGGGCCCAGACTTAAAATGAAGACATCTCAGCTGCAACATTATTTCCCCTCTGCCTGCCTAGGCATTCTCCCTGTGGCCCAAGGTGTTCCATTGTTCCGTTTAACTTTCCAAGCTCTCCCCTCCTCACCGCAGAGGATGGAGATGTAAGAATCAAGCATTCCACTATAACTCGAGGAGCTTACAAGCCTCCAGAAGCAGGATGCTCAAGGAGAGAAGCGGCAGAGAGCTTCAAGAGCACAGTATGGAGTAATTAATCAAACATCTGCGAGGAGGCCTAAGCAGCAGGAGCCATGCTCAAAGAGCCAACTCTGGTGGTAGCAGCCTCGGAAACTGCTGAAACCACCTCTCCCCCACAGCACACATGCGAAGGTGCCAACCAGTGTTCTCTTTAATCTTCCCATTCTTTCCCAGGGAGAGAAGTGGATGACAAATACAAATCAACGAGGATACAACATACAAAATGCACAGCTAAATAAACAAATGAGTAGATAAATAGGATTTAAAATGACTAAATGCATTCCTAGAAAAAGTCTTCTGAGAAGTAGCAAAAACAGAGGAAGGAAATAAACTTACCTCTTGTTCAGGAGCTGCGTATCTTCCCCTAAGAGCTTCTGAACTCGACCGGGTTGTTGATGTCAGACTAGGGAGACGGAAAAAGGAGAGTCACCAATACACTTCATTCTGCGCATGGCAAAAGCCATTAGAAACAAATCTTTTCTAGTGGGAATTGTTTGGTGAAGGCTTTCCTGATGTCAGTTTGTCATCTGGAGGGCTAACACCTAGCATGGATCACCCCAAATTTTTATTTTATCCACAAAAGAGGATGAGGATAATAATATTAATAGTGCATTAAGTTCTAATGCATTTAATAGGGTATCAAGGTCTGCAAAGTGCTTTGTCTATGTTCATTCATTTGAACCTCACAACCACCCCTGTGAGGTAGGTGCTATTTCATTTTATAGATGAAGAAAGTGAGGCGAAGAAAGTGAGGCATAGAAAGGGTTACTGATGGGGGTTTTGGGGGGAGGGAGGTTGGTTTGTTAGTGAGATTTCATTTGTTCTCATGCATCAAGTGCTTGAGGTATACAGGCATTTTTAAAGAACAACTACTCTTGGCTAACCCCCAAGCCTCCCCATCATCATCAGCCTGTTTTTTTGGTTTTTTTCTCCCATAGCCTTATACTAGAACCAACAGCAGAATCATCTAAGTTCTGTCTGGGTTGTTGTATTTTCATTTTCCCTTCCCTAGAGAGAGATGCTCACAAGAAGGGGTAAAGTCAGATTTGCAGAGGGCCACAGAAATGAATACCTCCATAATGTACAAGGTAGATGGGTAATTAACAGCCAGATTAGCTTTCCTTTCAGAATACAGTAATTAGTAGCAAGTGAAGTGAAAAATTTGTCATTTTCTTCATACCTAGAGATAAAAAAAATATTCCTAGAAAAATTTAAACCGAGGAAAAACAACTTTTAAACTCCACCCCAGCAAAGGGGGTAAAAAAAATTTAGAGAAAATTTAAACATGGTAACAAAGGGGATGAGAAGGGGAAGAAGCTATATGGTTGGGGGAAGGGGAAATCAGTTTAAACAAGATCTAGCATTCAAGAAAGGAAATGCATGTCTGAAGTACAGATCTAATTATAAGCAATTTGAGCTCTGAAAGACCTAAGAAAGTAATAATGAGGGAATGCAAATAATAGGGATTAGTTGGCAGAAGACTGCAAAGGTTTCTCGTTATTATCAAAAGCAAACAGATAAGGTTCCTGTTTAAGAGGTGGTGTCAAGAATGATAAACTAAGAGCCCTGAGTTAGCATCCTGGCTCACCAATCACTAAGTGTAGGATCTGACCCTGGAAAAATCATTTCATCCTCCTGAAGCCTCAGATCCCTCAATCATAAAATGGAGCTAATTAATAACAACATCATCTCAAAGGGCTGTTGTAAGGAAATCAGTTCAAAACTTATAAACTGTTAGAGAATTGCAAGCTAATTTTTTAACAAGAAATATGTGCTGCATAACTGATATCATATTGCTTGCCTTTTCAATGGATAAGGGAGACCAGGATGAAGGGAGAGAATTTGGAACTCGAAAATTTTTTAAAAAGAAATATGGGAAGAAAAGAGCATCTGAACAGATCAGGCAACAAAACTTTGTAGCTCCAAAAAACCTGTTGGCTTAAGAACACAAAGATATACTACCTACAACTGGAAGAGCTTTCAGAGATCATGCAGTCCAAGCCTCTCATTTTGAGGGGGTCCCGACTTGTGATTTCATTGCTGAAGGGGATTCCTGGTATAGAAATTCCCTCCATCAATGAGGATCAGCAGATGGTCTGATATAGAATTGTCTTTGAGAGTTGCTTGGGACAAAAAAAAAATTAAGTGATTTGCCCATGGTCATGTATGGCTAATATGTGTGATAGGCAAGGACTTATTCAGTTGTTTCAGAGAGGAGACGAGAGGAAGCCTATTTCAACCCCCTAACTTTACATAGAGGTTAAGTGAAAGTGCTGGTGGGATTTGAACTCATGTCTTCCTGACTCCAAACTCTACCTTATCTGCAACACCCTCTCTATATCTAACTTGGCAAACCAAATTATGATGATAATTAATTTAAAAGTAGTGTTTATTTACAAGATTGCAGGCTTTTAAATGTTTCTAATTCTGTTACCAAGGCATCCACATGCTATTAAAATATAGACAAAAATCTGAGATATCAGATTCTTGAGTTTATAAGAAGCAGGTAAGAACTTGGGCTTCAGCAATTAGAAAGTTGTGTTTCCCGAACTTTTTATGTCCTCTACAAGTCTCAAGAATACATGGATATTCTAGGAATATAAAAATGTTTATATTTCTCAAAATTTCAAGGCATTGGGGGGGAAATAACTTAAAATCCATCCCCAAAGGGGGGGAAAAGACATTTGGAGAAAAATTTAAATATAGAGTTATAGACTATATCAGTCATTTTCAGGAAAAGAACTAAGAAAATACTGTTTTTAATCATATTAGTATCTTTTGAGTTCTCATTACCAATGGGTCCTGCATACCACGGGGTCAGAGTTATCCTCAAAGGTTTCTGAAAAATAAAGCTTTCCTGGATTGGACTAAAGTTTCTACCCTTCCACATGCAACTTTATTTTTAATCTGGTGCAAACATTTCCCAACCTAGCCTAATTTCTTTCATGGTATGTAAAAGACGGCAGAATGTGAACCAGGCCAAAGGAGCTAAGAACGGGACGGGTCACACAACGGCTTTGCCTCACTGCAGGGGTGAACCACTCTAGGAAGAATCCCAGCCTACCCTCTGGACCCTAGCACAGAAGATGTTCTGTACATTGCAACACTGAGAAGGAACGTCCCAGCATCAAAGCCTCAGAGTGTTGCTTGTTTGAGAGTGTCATCAACTGTTATCATCCTTTGTATTTCTGCCTTAGGCAGTTGGGGGGAGAAGGGAGAGAGGAAGGGTGTGATTGCTAGTATCCCTCTGCCCACTCCTGTGTAGATCATGGGTTCCTAACATGTTTTTAGTGTGTAAATGTATTTCAATATAATTGGCTTCCTTTGTAAACTTAAGTCCTTAATTTTATGCATTTAAAAACATCATTCTGAGAAGGGTCTATAGGGCTCATAAGACTATACCAAAAGGTCCATGACACACACACAAAAAAAACCCTTATGAACAAGTCATGAAAAGGAAGTCCACAAGCAAAGAAAGCACTGTCTCCTTTCCTTTCCTTGTGAAAAGAGTAATGCCTAAGGGCAGAAAGAAATGCACTCCCTTACCCTTATGCTGATGTTTGCACATGGTGAACAAAAAAGGAAAAGGCTGTAACAAGGACAACTGTTTTACGTCAAAACTCCTTATTACACAGTTTTTAGAAATCATGTGGTGGGGAGGGACAGATTCAAGACTGGGTAACAATATATGAACATAGAATTGTCTGCCATGTTGGAGCTGAAAGGGCCTTACAAAGCAAAAAGGTTGACCCTCCTTGTTTTACAGAGAAAGAAACTGAGGCTCAAAGAAATATGATGACTGATGCAGGTCAAATTAGTGATGGAACCAGGACTAGAATCAAAGTCAATAACATGTTATCTATTTCCTTCACCAATTTAAATTTTCTAAAAACAAAATTTTTCTCCCACACTTCCTGTCTCCCTGCTGCCTCCCCTCCACCAGCAGAAATTGTTCAAAATAAAAAAAGTCTTTGGGAAAAATTAGTAAAAGACTCTCACCTGCCCTACCCTCCTTCCAAATTTTCCATCTGTTTTTCTGGGCCTACACTCTCAAGCCCAAGATAATATTAAAGAAGTGCCTTTTTTTCTTTATTCTTAGAAAATACTTTTAGTGTTAGTGAAATATGGCTTGGGGCAATTAATTGGTCTTAGGTTAAGAGTTTTTGTTAAATTTAAATAAAGTCAGTTACAGCATTCTAACTTTGACTAATGCAGAATTTTTCTTTAAGGGTAGATGTAATTATTTGTAATTACTCTAGTCCAGGAAATTCTTATCTTCAGCATTCCAGCTTCTGCTAAGACTTGTCTGCTTCATTATAGCAAGGTAGGTGGTAACCCAACATTTCTGGCTCCCTCTACATCCCTCTTTCTGGTGCTACATAGTAGGCAGACTTTCAAGCATCCCAAAGACCTCTTCACTGGAGGCAGAATGACTTGTGGGTGCATGTATGTACCTGCTAAACACTGCTCACTCCATCCAAAAATAACTCCCTTGCTTCAATCTTCCTAAAGATCTTCAAAAGACCATAGAAAGATGGTGGACAATTACGCCTAAAACCTAACCTTCCTCTAATAGAGGCTCTGGCATACTTGGCAACCTTCCAAATGAGATCTCCCTAAGAACTCAATGGTGATCCTATCATAGCAGTGCTGAACATATATGTAATTTAACACCTGTACTTCTGTTTGTTACAAAGTTAGAGGACCACAAAGCATCAGATATGGATGGGACCTTGGAGATGAAGGAGGAAGCTTCAAAGAAGCAAATTTCAGTTTGATGTGAGGAAAAACTTCCTGGCATTAGACAAGTGGAACTGATTGCTTCGGGAGGTAATGGGTTTCACTTTATCGGCAGAGATGTTGTGGAGGGAAGTCCTATTCAGGTCTGGGTTGGACTGGAAATTTCCAAGAGCCCTTTCAAGTCTATGAAGCTTAATCCCCTTGATGAACAGATGAAGAAAGAAAGGCTGGTCCAGAAGCATATGCACGTGTTGACTGAGGTCTATATGGCTCTATAGTGCTGCTGTGTCTCTAACCTGGCATCAGTGGTTCCTTACGAAGGCCCATTTGTGATGAAAAGTGGCCAGAATCCCACGACCAACAAGAGAGAGGGTCTATGTGTCTGAAGAGGGGAGGAGGAAGGGAGGGAGGGAGCAAAGAGAGGTGAGAAAGGAAAGGAAAGAAGAAGGGAGAGAAAAAGGGAGAAAAGAGGAAGGGAGGTAAGTGAGGAAAGAAAGAAAAGGGAGGAAGGAGAGATTGCAATTAGCCAACAATATTAGTACAGAGATTTGTGGCCAGAAGATCAAGTGAGCCAGTAGGTAATACTCACAAAAAAGAGAAATATTAACAAAGAAATATTACAAACATACAACAATAATGTGTTGTTGCTGAGTCATTTCAATT